CAGAAGTCAGGAAAGACGAGGGCAAGAATAACATATGAGAGAACTCGATATTTAAATCTGAGGAGATGCTGGTGACTGGGCACCGTTTGGAAGGACTAGTTCAGCCGCTTCATTGATGGTCACATTCTTGTAGCGGCATCAAACCCCACTGCCCCAGCTCAAAGCTGCTTGTAACACAAAACTGTCTCTTTGGTCCTGTCGTAGGACTAGCAGGCATGCAGTGTCACTTCAGATCATTGTGACAGAGGCGCAGTTGCATTCTTCCTCTCATTTTTCTTTTCTTTTCTTTTTTTTTTTTTGGGCAAAGGATTTTCACAGTTGAGACAAGTGTAATGATTTCACAGTGCTTGTAAAGAGTTTATGGTGCCTCAGACTCTTGTCAACTGTGGTGCAGCACTCTTCCTTAAAGCAAACCCTGTCTGTGGGAAAGCAGAATGCAGCACAGATAATTTTGTTCAAGTCTAACGCTGCATTTGCCTCGGGATGTGTATAATTTCATTGACAGTGTCTTTTTTTTTTTGTTAATATAGACACAGAGGGTTTCTGTGTATGTAAAAGTGGAGTCACAGTCTACAAACTCTCCGACCTGTTTTGTTGTCTTTAGATCTCATTTTACAGAACCGCCATTATTCAACCATAACATTCATCAATCGATCTGTTAGGCTCAAATAGGAGTGTCTCATTTGCTATCATCATATCGTATGAAAAAGATTGTTTATCTGCCTGAAGGAGTTCTTTTCTGCAGCACAGTTAACCGCTCAGTGAATGAGAAATTAGCCTGTATTTTCAAGGTTTAAACTGTTTCGGGCTTGTTTTTGCTCCTGTACACTTCTGAACCACATAAAGTAAATTACATTGAAGACAACTTTTAAACATCTTGTCACCTCTTGCTCCTGTCTGCATCAATAAGATATACTGTCCTAAATAACAGAAGAAATGGGGGTAGTTGTGAAGTTTTTGCTTGCCAGGGTTTCCAAAGAGGGAGCATAGGACTGTCCTTGCAAAGGTGCTTACAAATAGTGAATGAAAAGAGTTTGACATTTATTTATACAGGAAAAAAATAATCAAGTATTTCTTATAATCAAAGCCACACTGACTGGTTATTATTAAATATATCAGTGTTGTATATTACAGCCAATGCTGATCAGATGTTTAGTATGGATATCATAACAGATCCAGAATCAGAAGAGAATAAAACTACATTTTTCTATTTTTCTCATTTTGAGCATTTTTCATTCAATTGTAAACAGTGCTGTGCTGAAGTATTAGATGTTTAGATTCTTATCGTAACTCAATGACATCAGGGAGGCATCTGATCAATCCCAAATTCATTGTGCAGCAGGTTAACGAGTCAGCACATTCAGTCATGAAGAACTACTCAGCCACAAAAGAAGTCTGACTCTCACAGAGCCCTGATCCCAACATCATGGAGTCAGTCTGTTTTTACATGAAGAGACAACACGGGCCCACAGAGTAAGTCCAGCAAGTTTCCCAAGATACATGAAGTAACTTTTTTTTTTTCTGCTTATCCCACTTTCAGTTGATGAATAAATAAAAAACTATTTGTGGTGCTACTTTTGAAGGCATGCTTGCTTTACTTTTCTTAAACTTTTGGAAAGCACTGGAGGTCTGGATGTTCCTAAGTTCTAAAGTGCATGCAACCCTGGAAGCGAGTTTGTCGATGGCTTCAGAGCAAGACGCTGCTATTTTTACAGTGACTGAAATTTAAAGTCTGGTGTGATGAAAGCCACAAGCTTTTTTCTTATCTACATAAGAAGAACCACTTTGAAAATTCCAATCAGGCTTTGGGGCTCGCCACAAAATCAGGCATTTGTTACAGGTGATCAACACATTCATGTTAAAAGTCTGAAGGGCCAGGCTGGCATCTAGGGCACTGTGCTAAAGTGGTTTGCCACCTGCTTGGCATACAGGTCTTTGTCAGTCAAAATTGAGAGTCGCCCCTCCTCTTCTCACACGTGGAGTACCTCAGGGGTTGATCTGAGGGCCCATTTGATTTTATTTGTTCCACGATCCAGGCTCAATTGAGTCTTTGTGTTAGCTGCTCCAAAGATTTGGAATTGCTGTCTTCTGGCAATAAAAAGTTCCTCTTTGTTGACCTTTTTATGAAACATCTCAAGACATCCATGTTTTCAATGGCTTTTGTTAGTTCTTCATGGTATATATTTTTAGTATTTTGCATTAGTTTTATTATAACTTGGACTTATTGCTTGTTGTCCTGTTTTGCCCTGTTTTATTCAACTCAGGTTGTTTTAAACATGCCATAACTAGACTTGATTTATTGTTTATCGTGTCAAAGGGATGAATCCTAGTGACTTTGATGATCTACAGCTCTTACCTTCAGCGACAGGTTCAAGTCGGTATGCAAGTTATTGAAATCTCAATTTAAATATGTGAAACATGCTTCCCAGAAAACGAACCGTTGACACGTTCATCCTAAGTGTTTACTTAACTGTTATCTTATAATGTGAGATTGACATGACAGTTGTTTTGCTCCTTTGGTTTTATTGGCTCATGGATTTTTCAAAGTAGGTTTTTTGACTTGTCGCAGCAGGGAAGGCACAGTGGGTGTATTAATGATGCCTCATTTCCGATAAGTGCTCTCGTAAGCCTTGACAGTAAGCCAGCACGCATAAACACATGACCTTCTCTGAGTGGAATGTTGCCATTATTACCACAGGTGTGACTTCCTTACTGTGATGAGTCAAAATGTATGCCGTGAAAAAGGTCTGCTCATCATTAAAATTTCTTTGATGGCGACCCCAGGAAAAAAACTGCTGCTCTAACTCAGTTACTCATCACCCTCACCCTCATATTCTCAGTCACCACTTTGATTCAATATGGCAATATCTCAGCATATACTCAGCAGATTATCAGTATTAACTGGCATAAATGGAAGATTTTTTTTTGTCTACAGCATGAATGCTGCTTACTTTGGCCCTGACTTTTACTCTAGTGCCATGAGCAAAGCCTACTGAAATATTTGAACATGTGAAGGATAAATTAGAACAGAGTTTGGCACAGTTGTGAATGGAATGGTACATCACTTTGTTGAAGAAGCAACTAACAGATATTGAAGCTGATGAACAGATAGTCAAAGTCATCGCTAGCTGCAGTAATACTTGTTGTCTTTTCCTTTAACCCTAAAGCTGACCCTGAGCCTCTTATCCATTATATACCTGTTAAACACCAACTACGATGACTGTTCTCTTTCAAACCAACATTTATTTATGTCGTGTGGTGTATTGAATACAGGTGCCTCTGGGTCAATATCCAGACTTCTTCTTCACATGTTTGCTATTGAAACTTGTACTGTGTTCACAATACACCTGAAGTAAAGGAGGAATGTTAGAAAACACACAGATAACCAGGTCACAACATAGAATATAAACCATTCAGTACCCTACCCGAAGCTGTGCACACGAATACAAGCCATTCTGGGTCTTTGCATCAATGCACGTGTGCAGAAGGGACAAACCTTCTGCCAAAGTAAGCTATTTTAAAATTTCAAGTCCTTTATCAGCAACCAGATGGTCGCAGTGTAAAGAGTGGATTTAAGGAGTGATCAGTGTCATTTGCTATTATTTGCACGAGGCATGCGGTGACAGACGGGGAGATCGGAGGCTGGTGATTTGGAGGAAGTATATGCAGTCTTGGTGAGTCTGTTTTTGTTGGACGTGGTTATTGTTGTGAAAAAATGGAGAACAGTACAACAGGATGGGTTGAATATGCTTTTATGAAGCGACAGCAGAAGGTGGCGTGCAGCAGACTGAGCTCTGAGTTTGCATCGAGTCTTTGCTGTGCGGACACAGCAAAGACTTGGACTGGGATTTTTTTTAAATTATATTTGAAAGGCATGTTTTCTTCAAAGAAAAAAAGATCCAAAATTGCATCATTTATCATAGCAACAAAATGCAGAAATAGAGAGAATTGTCAGATTTTCAGCCTCCAAATGATCCATGAATGTATCATATGTGATGTACAGTACAGGGAAAGAGGCAGGGGGAAAATTGCCAAAAAAAAGTTTAAAATTGTGATATTTTATCAGGCAATTTATTCCGTATTTGCCAAAAAATAACCATTTGCTCTCATCAGATTTTATGAAAACATCAAAAAATGAAATGGCTCAGTAACCAAGGATGGAGGTGTGGCTCAGTCAGGACTGGAATTTGTATTGGTGTCTGAATGTCCGTATGTTTTGTCTACATTTGGTTGCAGTTGTGTGAAATGAGACACACAGTGTTGATAGACTGTATTGCTGAGAAGTAGTTGCATCATAGCAGTGTGAATAGCGTACTTGCAGTGTGTGGTGAAGGACTGATGCTGTCTTTTGTGTAGAGGGCTCCAGTGTTCGTAATACAAGTTGATGTTAATGTGGAGTTTCCTAATCAACAGGTGGCACTGGATTTCCTCCACAAAGGAAACTGATACAAAGTTGATTACGATGATGGAGGAGGGAGTGGAGGAGGCATGCACCAGAATTGTCCGTCCCTCATTTGGCTCTGTAGACAAACCGATGCGGGTCCAGCTGTGATCTGAAGCTGGCAGGATGTAGCACAGCATCCGTTTCTCTGAGCATTTTTTTAATTATTGATGCTAATGCAGTTGATTGAAAGCGGTTGGTTCCTGAGAGACATTGGTTTTTAGGTAATGTGTACTGGTGGATGTTTTCCTGAGGGTGAGCATAAAGGATGTCATATATGGTGCCCAGACGATGAAGTAAAAGTTGGAAGACAGCTCCATGGCTCAGAACATCTTACTCATGCTATCTAAGCCCTGGTGAACTTCCATGTCCAAACCCACAATTATTTTGGTTTTTCAAGCAGCATTTGAAAACGTGTCAAATTCATTTATTTTCCAGTCAGGCTCACATTTCATTTGAAATTCAGTACCTTCAGCAGCGAATGCACTTTAAGCAAAGTGTTCCTGGTGAGTTCTTCTGTTGCTCTGACCTGACCCAATCTCTCCTCTTAACCCAACAGGAAGAATACCCAGTCAGAGGGGAAATCGTGCTCTCATCCAATGACCTCCAACTTGTGCTACAATTAGAACGTAATCAGTAAGTATCTCTTCCCTCATGCCACCTTTACTGCCTTAACTTCTCTGATAACCTCCACCTGAGAAGTGTGAAACGATAACAGGGGGAGATCACAAATCCCTCGCCATGCTTTCTCTCTCTCCTCTTTGTCTTGAACTTTTGGTCAGTCTGTGCATTACCCCAAGAAATTCAAGGTTCTGAGATGTTTTTACACTTTGCAAGCTTGGTAAAGACTAAGTGGATGGCCTAAGGATATGTATGCACTTGTGGTAATAGCAGTGTGTAGCTCGGGATTTGAGGTCTTATTGTGCTTCCACGCCAGTGACACTGTGTTTGTGTTTCTGGGTTGTTCGTCCATCAGTCCAAGTTTCTTCAAGTTCAGCATGGATCTCCATTTGAGCGTAACAGAAAATTATTAGAATTAGGTGTTCACAAAGTGTAGGTTCATTGTGATGTTACAATGCACGGAAATGACTCAAGAATTCATGCAGAGACACACAACTGTGAAGTCCAAAGTTCTCTGAATCACTGCCGCTGAAAAAGAAAGCTAATGTTCCATTAGACACATCTTTTTAAAGATCATGCGCAGTTGATAGTCCTTGACTGTGAAAATGTAGTCATGGTTTCAACTGATGTCATTTGGAGATTTTCATATTTCGCTCAAGAGACATAAATATCACATGCTCTTGAGTCATAGCTTTAGATTTACTTGCTGCTTTGTTATGGGAAAAGGGAATGTGTAAGTGACACAGCTCAGGGCGCACAGAGGAGCGAGGCTAATCAGAATGAGTGCGGCGTGTTTCATGGAGGGCACGCGGAACAGGGTTCACGGCCAGCAGAGGTTATGATGTTCCTGTGATAACATCAAGGGGAACTCCGTCTGGTGCATGCTCATCAGCCCAAAACGTGCAGAGACTTCTGAGGTGGACCACTTAGCATGCTCAGAAAGCCTGGAGGTGGAGAGAACATGTCAGCAAACCTCATCTGTGTTCATCAGAGCAGGGGTCCTTCAACTAACAGACAGATCCTCATCAGAACCTGAAGATTTAAGCCTAGCTGTAGTAATTAGCTGTAAAACTGCATGTTTAAGGTGAAGAAAGATGACAAACTGGATGTGTTTTGAAAGACATGAGCCACAAAATGCCCATTGTGTTGTATCATGAGAAGAAGAAGGGTCCAATGTTTGTTTGAAATGACGAGTGTGATTGATTAAAAGTCAATATATCTTAGCTTTCTCTGCTTTCATTTTATCGATTTCTTTCTTTGCCCGTCTCTCATGTGTCATTGTAATAAATGGATTGACTTCTGGATTGCTGGAAAACTCCTTTAAAGTGCACTGTGTGTCAAACTGTAGGTAAATGAAGCTGATTATATCTGCATAACCACATCATTTACTAAGATGTTGATGAAGAATTTCTCAGCTCAGTAGAAAAAATGTTAGCATTGTCTAAATTTTACACATGAAGCAAGTGATGCTAGCATACCTTATGAGTCTGAAAATCTGAAATACGACCCAAAATATTATATACCACAAAGAAAAATACTACATGGACTGCCGGTATGTGGCTTTAGAAGGAATATGCCAGTTTGCCATGCTTCACAGAGTGGCATTTGGAGTATCATTTCAGTGTCAGTAGGCAGTGGACATATAATGGATGCATAGGATTTGGAAAGGATTGATGGGGTAAAAAGGAGACAAAAGGAGGAACTGACACAGACATTTATGCAGAGCACCAGAAAAACAAGAAGCCCCAAGACAATGGTGGCATATATGAAGCAGACAGGCAGTGATGAATAGGACGGAGAGGAGACGGAAACGTACAGAGAGCTGACTGGTGATGATACACTACAGTGAGTCTGGTCCAGGGAGTCACAGTCTGGAATACGGCGAGCTGGCGGGGTGTATATTTATTTTAAACCAGCAGTTGAGTCTCAGTGACGTGCACAAGTTTGGTCTGGACCAGCGAATGTAGGTCAGAGAACGAGGGACACGTTCTGGGGGAAGCAGTTGCTCTGATGAAGGAGGGGTTACTGGGAATGTTACTGGAAACGGAGTTTATTTTATCTACTGGGCCTCTTCCACTGGGACAGGAATGGAACACGGCCAGGAAACAGCACAATGTACAGTATGAAGGCCATTACATTTACAGTGCTAAAAGAATAAAACATGTCTCATTAAAGAGAATTCTTTAATTGCAACAAAGCGTGCCTTCTTGTTATCAAAAATGTTCAAAGAACAAAGATACTCTGTTCAGCGCTTGTTATTACAATCGGGTTTCTTATTATCGGAAGAAAATATATGATGAAAAAAATATAAGTATCTTGTGAAAGAAAAGAAATTGTGTTTTTATCATAACAAAACATCCCTTTATTAGCAGAAATATCTTGCTGTAATGATAAATGTATCTTGTTATCTAAACAAATCAAGCTTTTATCAGCTCTCTTTTGATATATTGATCGAAATGCCATTAATGCTCCTGTTATAATCATAAATACATAAATCTGATCACAAAGCAGAGACACAAACCTGATAGTGATGAAAACATTTTATGACAATGAAGCATCTGAAAACACATCCTGTTAATATGTTAAAAAATTCCATTATTTAAAACAAAGTGTCCTGTTATGTGGTTAAATCATCTCATTATTAGAAGGAAACATTGGTATAATAGATGAAATAAAATCAGATGTACCTTTTTTTTGTTATAAAATATTGTTGTGATGCAAACCTAATTCATACAACAAAGTATTTTATCATTAATGGAGACATTTTATTAATAAAAAGCCTGCATTTTTATGTTTCGTGAGACCCTTTGTGGAGCTCCGTAACTGGCAAAAGGTTATATAAGCTCGTCAAACAAAAATACAAAAATAGAGTCTATGACATCAATATTTTATTGGAAAATAAAAAGTGTTTGGTGAGGGAAACAGGGAATAGAACAAGCAGCTCACCTGTGCTTCCACCAACCGGTCATGTTCCAGCCCATATCAGCCCTAGCTGACCATACACTAGATTTCTGTCGAACACGTAACAATTAATAAAAAAGAATGTAAAGTGAGGACAACCAATGAAATGAATGTTAAGCATGTGCAGCATGCATACTTACTACTTACTTTAAATGATAAATAATGTTTATATGGGCTGCAAGGTGGCTTGGTGGTTAGCACTGTTGCCTCACAGCAAGAAGGTTGCCGGGTTGCGTCCCGGTGAGGATACCCGAGATCTTTCTGCGTGAAGTTTGCATGTTCTCCCTGTGCAGTGTGGGTTCTCTCCGGGTTCTCCGGCTTCCTCAAACAGTGATAGACTGGTGACCTGTCCAGGGTGTCCCCTGCCTTCACCCTGAGTCAGCTGGGTTAGATCCGCCCCCCCCGCGGATGGTGTATAGATAATGGATGGATGGATAATGTTTATTCAAATAAACTGTATTATTAAGATTTATGAGTTCCCCAAAAATGTGTCTAGTGAATCCACGGTGACCTTTGACCTCCAGATTCTAAACAGGCCATCCTCAAGTCTAACTAAACATTTGCAAAATTGTGAAATTTTTAAGAAATGTCCTTAAATTTTTCTTGAGATGTCAGTTTCATGACATTGTAGAAGACAGACATGATCTGCAGCCTCGTCATCACGTGGCAGAAAGGACTAAAAACTACACACTGAGTGGAGTCAAGGCAAAAATATTAAGATTCGTCACAGTTTCTCAGTTCTGTTTTAATTTCTTTCATGGGTTTAACTGTATTGATTTATTATGTATTCAGTTTTACAGATGACAGACATTCAACTCACCCAAACTGATTTCTAAACCAACATTTGCACCGATAAAGCCGTATTTCCCACAAACACCATTACATTTTCCTGTCGTTAAGATGTTTGGTTTGTCATTAGTGGAAGACATGGTGTTGTTTGCAGTTTAAACATTTATAATATAGCACGGAGAAGCGTGCTCAGCTTTTGTTGTCTAACCTTCAGCAGTCACTACATCCTGCCAGATCCTTTCACTTCCCTGCTCTTCAGAAGGTGAAACTTCTGAAAACACTGAAGCTATTTAATAGAACAGGCAAAGGAAGTGAAATGTGTGTGGTTTTTGTGTTGTTGCGATCGGGGGAGGAGGGCCCATCATTCTGGAACTGGATGTTGCTGACTAGCTAATATCTGAGAAGTGCTATATCAAACTGACAAGCTGGTCTTACAGAGAGTGACTCCTTCACTTCAAGTTGTTAAAACAGACATGAGGGAGGAGGAGAGAGGGATGGAATGAGAATGAGCTGGGAATGTGCAAGGAAAGGGGGGGTGGAGGCTGACCTACAGACAGATCCTGAGAATAGATTGAGCATGAGAGTGGGGACGTCTGCGTGTGTGTGGTGGGTCCTGGAATGCCAACTGACGTAACGCTGGACAAGCCCGCGCTGGCTGAGGCACCCAGAGCTGGCAGAAAACATAGGATGTGCTGGTTATTTGTCCGTGAATCATGTTAGTTGTCATGGCTCGGCTTCGTCTGTCTTCCGTCTGCGATATTCCAGGGTGTAAGAGCACAGCCTCGGGGCGTCTGACAGCACTGTTAGTCAGGTCTGATCAAAAACAAACGCCAGCCAGCAAGACGGTCAAAGGTTAAGTGTCAGTGTCACTGATCCTTTAAGTAATACACCAAAACTATCACTTGGGTATTTACACCAGAAAAGTGCCCAAATTGAATCAACGATTAACCCTCTGGAGCCCCAAATCTGCCGGCAGGTTTGAAAGACGTGTTAATTTTAAGAAAAATCACAGAAATGACACAAACTGTGAAAACAAAACGAATCCTCTGGTTTGCAGCTTTCTAACATTCTGTGGCGTGCCGTCCCGTCTGAAAACGTAACCAAATCTAATCTTAGACTCCTGATATTTGATTAAAATCATCTAATCCCCAAAACAAACTGCACCAAGTTCTGTTAAAAAAAATAAAAATCTACATCTCTCAGCACAGTGGAGAAGCCACAAGCTGCAACAATGTAAGAAAAAATATCATATTATGTTATTAATA